TGGGTTTTAAAAGTTTCAGACCCAAAAAAAATTTTAAAAAAAAAATAAAAAAATTTTTTTATATTAGCTTAGACTGGTCGATTTGGCACAAAGTTCCCAAAGTATTTTAAAATAGATATTTTATATCCCCGTAGATTCCTACATATTATGCTACGTAAATTTTAAGCTTTCCCGAAAACTGCAAATGAAAACTTTGTTCCCGGGTTACCCCTTCATCAGAAACTGACTGAGCCTTTGCACTGTAAAGATTGGAAAAACTTTCTTTGAAGCGAAATTGGGTTTGACTGTGGGATGGGATATTTCTCCACTGTACCTAAGATGTGGCTGTTGTTTTAAGGAAGGGCCTAGCTTGGCTAGACTTTCCATGCTCCCAGTTGCTCTGTGGATGCTTCACATGCCATACACTTGTGTTTTTCACTCCATTTTGATAATTTCATCGAAATATTGATGGCACCAAAATGGAATGTTAGTGATGTTGAAGGTGCCAAGAATTTTACACAATAAGCTATGCCTGTTTTGAAAAAAATTTGAGGTGATAAATATGTTTAAAGGTGGTGAAAGGCTCACGGAGAACGTAAACGCATTTGGTATTATTTTTTATTTTTTTTTATTAGCACACTGGCCCCTCGCACACAAAACCTCCTTTACACCCTCCCTCCAACCTTTCCTAGGCCAACCCCTACCCCGCCTTCCTTCCAGTAGACTGATACGCTCTTCAAGTCATTCTGTTTTGCTCGGAGGCCCGGTGGCCTGGTGGCTAAAGCTCCCGCTTCACACACGGAGGGCCCGGGTTCGATTCCCGGCGGGTGGAAACATTTCGACACGTTTCCTTACACCTGTTGTCCTGTTCACCTAGCAGCAAATAGGTACCTGGGTGTTAGTCGACTGGTGTGGGTCGCATCCTGGGGGACAAGATTAAGGACCCCAATGGAAATAAGTTAGACAGTCCTCGATGACGCACTGACTTTCTTGGGTTATCCTGGGTGGCTAACCCTCCGGGGTTAAAAATCCGAACGAAATCTTATCTTATCTTATCTTACATGTCCGAACCACCTCAACAACCCTTCCTCAGCCCTCTGGACAACAGTTTTGGCAATCCCACACCTCCTCCTAACTTCCAAACTACGAATTCTCTGCATTATATTCACACCACACATTGCCCTCAGACATGACATCTCCACTGCCTCCAGCCTTCTCCTCGCTGCAACATTCATCACCCATGCTTCACACCCATATAAGAGCGTTGGTAAAACTATACTCTCACACATTCCTCTCTTTGCCTCCAAGGACAAAGTTCTTTGTCTCCACAGACTCCTAAGCACCACTCACCCTTTTCCCCTCATCAATTCTATGATTCACCTCATCTTTCATAGACCCATCCACTGACACATCCGCTCCCAAATATCTGAATACATTCACCTCCTCCATACACTCTCCCTCCAATCTGATATCCAATCTTTCACCACCTAATCTTTTTGTTATCCTCATAACCTTACTCTTTCCTGTATTCACTTTTTATTTTCTTCTTTTACATACCCTACCAAATTCATCCACCAATCTCTGCAACTTCTCTTCAGAATCTCCCAAGAGCACAGTGTCATCAGCAAAGAGCAACTGTGACAACTACCACTTTATGTGTGATTCTTTATCTTTTAACTCCACGCCTCTTGCCAAGACTCTCGCATTTACTTCTCTTACAACCCCATCTATAAATATATTAAACAACCACAGTGACGTCACACATCCTTGTCTAAGGCCTACTTTTACTGGTAAATAATCTCCCCCTTTCCTACATACTCTAACTTGAGCCTCACTATCCTCGTAAAAACTCTTCACTGCTTTCAGTAACCTACCTCCTATACCATACACTTGCAACATCTGCCACATTGCCCCCCTATCCACCTTGTCATACGCCTTTTCCAAATCCATAAATACCACAAAAACCTCTTTAGCCTTATCTAAATACTGTTCACTTATATGTTTCACTGTAAACACCTGGTCCACACACACCCTACCTTTCCTAAAGCTTCCTTGTTCATCTGCTATCCTATTCTCTGTCTTACTCTTAATTCTTTCAATAATTACTCTACCATACACTTTACCAGGTATACTCAACAGACTTATCCCCTTATAATTTTTGCACTCTCTTTTGTCCCCTTTGCCTTTATACAAAGGAACTATGCATGCTCTCTGCCAATCCCTAGGTACCTTACCTTCTTCCATACATTTATTAAATAATAGCACCCACCACTCCAAATCTGTATACCCACCTGCTTTTAACATTTCTATCTTTATCCCATCAATCCCAGCTGCCTTAACCCCTTTCATTTTACCTACTGCCTCATGAACTTCCCCCACACTCACAACTGGCTCTTCCTCACTCCTACAAGATGTTATGCCTCCTTGCCCTATACATGAAATCACAGCTTCCATATCTTCATCAACATTTAACAATTCCTCAAAATATTCCCTCCATCTTCCTAATATCTCTAACTCTCCATTTAATAACTCTCCTCTCCTATTTTTACCTGACAAATCCATTTGTTCTCTAGGCTTCTTTAACTTGTTAATCTCACTCCAAAACTTTTTCTTATTTTCAACAAAATTTGTTGATAACATCTCACCCACTCTTTCATTTGCTCTCTTTTTACATTGCTTCACCACTCTCTTAACCTCTCTCTTTTTCTCCATATACTCTTCCCTCCTTGCATCACTTCTACTTTGTAAAAACTTCTCATATGCTAACTTTTTCTCCCTTACTACTCTCTTTACATCATCATTCCACCAATCGCTCCTCTTCCCTCCTGCACCCACTTTCCTGTAACCACAAACTTCTGCTGAACACTCTAACACTACATTTTTAAACCTACCCCATACATCTTCAACCCGATTGCCTATGCTCTCATTAGCCCATCTATCCTCCAATAGCTGTTTATATCTTACCCTAACTGCCTCCTCTTTTAGTTTATAAACCTTCACCTCTCTCTTCCCTGATGCTTCTATTCTCCTTGTATCTCATCTACCTTTTACTCTCAGTGTAGCTACAACTAAAAAGTGATCTGATATATCTGTGGCCCCTCTATAAACATGTACATCCTGAAGTCTACTCAACAGTCTTTTATCTACCAATACATAATCCAACAAACTACTGTCATTTTGCCCTACATCATATCTTGTATACTTATTTACCCTCTTTTTCTTAAAATATGTATTACCTATAACTAAACCCCTTTCTATACAAAGTTCAATCAAAGGGCTCCCATTATCATTTACACCTGGCACCCCAAACTTACCTACCACACCCTCTATAAAAGTTTCTCCTACTTTAGCATTCAGGTCCCCTACCACAATTACTCTCTCACTTGGTTCAAAAGTTCCCATACATTCACTTAACATCTCCCAAAATCTCTCTCTCTCCTCTACATTCCTCTCTTCTCCAGGTGCATACACGCTTATTATGACCCACATTTTGCATCCAACCTTTACTTTAATCCACATAATTCTTGAATTTACACATTCATTTTCTCTTTTCTCCTTCCATAACTGATCCTTCAACATTATTGCTACCCCTTCCTTAGCTCTAACTCTCTCAGATACTCCAGATTTAATCCCATTTATTTCCCCCTACCAAAACTCCCCTACCCCATTCAGCTTTGTTTCGCTTAGGGCCAGGACATCCAACTTCTTTTCATTCATAACATCAGTAATCATCTGTTTCTTGTCATCCGCACTACATCCACGTACATTCAAGCATCTCAGTTTTATAAAGTTTTTCTTCTCTCTCTCTGGTATTAGAGAAACTATAATTTATTTGATTCAACATGATCAGGAAGAAAGCCCTAAAATACTATAAGGTAAAAAAGTTTTAGGTATTAGGTTGGTAGACAGCAATAGCACAGGGAGGTACCACCGTCCTGCCAAGTGAGTGTGAAATGGAAACTTGTAATTGTTTTACATGATGGTAGGATTGCTGGTGTCATTTCTGTCTTATAAACATGCAAGTTTTCAGATACGTCTTGCTACTCCTACTAGTGGTGGCAGGAACCATACATAGTTTTAAGATGAGGTATGATAATGCTCATGGAGTAGAGAGAGAGAGGACCTAGTAGCAATCAGTGAAGAGATGACCCCTGCAACCACAAATAGGTGAGTACACCTCTCTGGCTTTTCTTTATTTTCTTAATAGTTCTTGTTCCTGTTTATTTCCATTTATCTCCATGGGGAAGTGGAACAGAATTCTTCCTCCGTAAGCCATGCATGTCATAAGAGGCAAATAAAATGCCAGGAGCAAAGGGCTAGTAACCTCTTCTCCTGTATTATGTTACTAAAGTTAAAAAGAGTAACTTGTTTTTCTTTTTGGGTCACCCTGCCTCTCTGGGATATGGCCAATTTGTTGAAAGAAGAAGAAAAAAAAGTGTGCAAGCAGGCCGGGAAGGTTGCATAAGAGTGTTTCTTATGGTAACTTCTTCATTTTAAAGTTTGCAATCAACTGCAGAATTTCAGATTTTATGGGGAAAATGCCAACCAAGGTGCTGAAGGAAATTTCCCTGCAGAAATAGAGAAAGTTATTTCTAAAATGGCTACAAGCCTGAGCAAGACCAGACCAGACAGCAACCCAGTAAGGTCTCTGCAGCCCTCTCTAATGATGTCAAGATCAGCATACACCAGCAACCAGAACTTATAAAAAAAAAATTATATAACTTTATAGTTTCACATACTCTTGCTTTTGAATGTCTAAACCACTAGGCCTAGTAATGTAACATTATCCCTCCCCACAAATATTTCTGTATCAACAAGGAATGACATCTACATTGCAAGGCATCAAAAATTTCATTATTTGTGATTTAAAAAAGTTAAAATATTTTTTTTTTGAGGTATTAAGAACATAACCCTATTTTTTCTATAAGTTCTTGAAATTACATATCATGATATTACATACAGCCAATTTCAGGAATGTAATCCGAGCAATGTGTAAGCACCCATTGTATTTAGTTTCTTACCTCCATGTGTGTCCAAATGTAGGGATCCCTATAATAAGCTTCTCTTTTGGTACCCCTTTCATTATTAAATAAATAGTGTCCCAGTGAATGTTCATGGTAGAAAAAAAGCCCTTCTCATTACTGGAGTTGCTCAGTGGAGAATTATGGCCTGTGAAGGGCAAGTAGGGCTTGTACATGTGATAGTTGTAGCCCATGACTGATACAAAGTCAACACATCTGAAACACACAAGAGTAACTACATTACAAAGTGACTAAGCACAGTGACAACATTATAAGCTCTCGTGGCTAATACAACATTAATTTTAATTTACAAGTAATTCTCCAGTTTGTGGACAAGCTGTGAATCATTCCAGCCCTGGTATTGTGATTTTAATGATTCATTATTTCTTAATTCTTCATTATTTCTCTAAAGAACTGATTAGTGCATGGTAATGTTAAATGAATGTACTGTAAAAAGTTATAAAGAATGTACTGAAATGAATTTGGACAGTACAGTGGACCCTCGACTAACGCTATTAATCCGTTCCTGAGAGCTCATCGTTAGTCAAAATTATCGTTAGTCAAGTTAATTTTCCCCGTGTAGGACACCCCAAAGTATGAAAAAAAAAATTGTTTTTACCACATGAAATATTAATTTTAATACACACAAACTGAAGAAGATATGCACAGTTACACGACACTTAGCTTTATTGAAGATCAGGTGATGATTGATGGGATGGGAAGAGGGGAGAGTGTTGATGGGCTTAGTGTTTAGAAGGGGAATCCCCTTCCATTAGGACTTGAGGTGGCAAGTACTTTTCCAAGGTTACTTCCCTTCCCTTTAAATCTCTCAAACCAACCTTTGCTGGCCTTAAATTCACTCACATCACCACTAGTTGCTGGCATTTTTTTAATTAAATCGTCATGCAACTTCCTAGCCTTTTCACATATGACTGCTTGAGAGATGCTATCTCCTGTTATCTGTTTTTCGTTTATCCACACCAAAAAAAGTCTCTCAACATCTTCGAGTACTTGCGATCTCAGTTTTGAAAACATAGTTGCACCTTTGGCAAGAACAGCTTCCTTGATTGCCGTTTTCTTGCCCACAATAGTAGCGATGGTTGATTGGGGTTTTGTGTACAACCTGGCCAGCTCGGAGACACACATTCCACTTTCATACTTAGCAATGATCTCTTTCTTCATATCCATAGTAATTCTCACCCTTTTTGCTGTAGGGTTGGCACTAGAAGCTTTCTTGGGGCCCATGGTGACTTATTTTGCAGGTGCAATCACTAAAAAGGCTGTGATAATATGAAATGTTCCGATTGTATGCTTGGCAGCGACCGCGGTGGCTGGCTGCCTTGTAAACACTGGCCAGAAGTGGACACGTCTCAGACCGAACGAATAGTGTTGGTCAAGTTTTTTAGCGCTAGTCGAGGCAAAATTTTTGCGTTAAAATGTATCGCTTGTCGGAATTATCGTTAATCGATGCCATCGTTGGTCGAGGGTCCATTGTAGTACAATACTAACATCAATGAAAAGAGGACAACACGTGAAGCCATTCAGTGTTAAAAAATAGAGGATGCACATAAGAGCAGAAGAGCAGCAGATGTAAGACAGTGCAATTAGAGGGCAAGCCAACAAAGAACAAGAATGTAGTACATAAAGACAATGTAACAAAGTATCTCGTATAAAATATCATAACTAGCATCAGAGATAAATATGGCAATATTAGAGAGTAAATCTGAGAATTCAGTTACCCTTTTAGCTATGTTATGCATCACTCATTTGATTCCCAAGTGTAATTTTCCCGTGAAAAAATTTAACTGTTCATATGAGCATAAGCATTACTTTTTTAATGAGATAAGACCATAATATCTCACAAAAAGCAATTAAAACAATATATAACTTGACTTAGTAAATAATTATTTCACAGGAATCATTCCATACTGTTGGCAACATTCTTAGTGTTCAAAAAGTTGAGAATTATGCCAGAAATACCTCCTACAATGAGAATTTGCACAAGAAAAAAATATTTATTTCTTTGTTTGGATACATTACTCATATGATAAAAAATAAGTAAATGGTTTAGTTCTATCAAGAAGCTAAAGTAAATACATGTAATGACTGTCACTTATTTTATCTAAGACCATTAAATCAAAGCATAAACAGCTATCAACAGGTAGTCATAAGCGTATCATAATACCATTCATAAGTCATTGCAGATAACCATGCTCAGAAGTGACATTTTACAATGACCTGGAGTATTGGTCGCTAGAGAATTCTTCATCATATTGCTAATAATATTTATTATGTTGCACTGCACTTTTTTAAAGCAATATACAGTATGTGAGGTTTAACAGAGAACGTACTTAGCAAGCTGATCTATCTCATAAGAATTATCAATGATGCTCTGTGATGCTCCAACAGCCACAGTCAACAAGAGTGGAGGATGAGACGCTAGCTGAAAGTATAAAGCGTTCTACACTAGAAGTTAAAATTAGTTCTATAAACAGTATTCTCCCTGCTAAAGGTATAAATATGCCGTTATTTAAGTAACTCTAGGACAAGGCCTTTAATGATAGTATGAAACTTGTACGGTATGCCCAGGAAAATACAGTCCTCCTTACCCCATGATTTTTTCAACATTATTCCCTGTTCTAGTACAAGTATTTTTTTTTACCTCAATAGCCATTGCTCACCAAAACAATGTGACCCCCCCCCCCCCCGAAAAACAAGGAAATACATTCATCAATGTACATTCAGTCACTGTTTTGTCAAAAGTGTGCTGACATCACAATCCAGAATACCCACCAACTGCAGCATCCCTCCCTTCCTTCAGAGTGCAGGCACTGCATAGATAACATAGATAAGAGTAAGGTAATGAGGGTATCAAATGATTTAGATAAGAAAAAATTGGATATCACATTGGAGGGAGGGAGTATGGAAGAAGTGAATGTTTTCAGATATTTGGGAGTTGGCTTGTCAGCAGATGGGTTATGAAGGATGAGGTTAACCATAGAAATGATGAAGGAAAAAAGGTGAGTGGTGAGCTGAGGTATCTGTGGAGACAAAAATCGTTATCCATGGAGGCAAAGAAGGGAATATATGAGGTATAGTGATACCAGCACTCTTATGTGGATGTGAAGCTTGGGTTGTAAATGCTGCAGCAAGGAGGTGGCTGGAGGCAGTGGAGATGTCCTGTCTAAGGGCAATGTGTGGTGTAAATAGCATGCAGAGAATTCGTAGTGTGGAAATTAGGAGGAGGTGTGGAGTTACTAAAAGTATTAGTCAGAGGGCTGAAGAGGGGCTACTGAGATGGTTTGGTCATTTAGAGAGAACACAACAAAGTAGAATGCCTTGGAGAGCGTATAAATCTGTAGGGAAAGGAAGGCAGGGAAGGGGTTGGCTCTGAAAAGGTTGGAGGGAGGAGGTAAAGGAGGTTTTGTGGGCGAGGGGCGTGGACTTCCAGCAAGTGTGAGTGAGCGTGTTAGATAGGAGTGAATGGAGACAAATTGCCTTTGAGACCTGACGAGCTGTTGGAGTGTGAGCCAGGTAATATTTTTGTGAAGGGATTCAGAGAAATTGGTTAGCCGGACTTGAGTCCTGGAAATGGGAAGTACAATGCCTGCACTTTAAAGGATAGGTTTGGGATATTGGCAGTTTGGAGGGACACCTGAACTGTCGTATCTGGGCGCCTCTGCAAAGACAGTGATTATGTATGAGTGATGGTGAAAGTGTTGAATGATGATGAAAGTTTTCTCTTTCTTTTTGGGTTTTTCTTTCTTTTTGGGTCACCCTGCCTTGGTGGGAGACGGCTGGTGTGTAAAAAAAAAAAAACATCATTATTAAAAACAATATTTCATTTTTCATATACAGTTCCGGTGTTGCTCAGCCCTTGAAGAAGTTAAGTTTTACAACAGACATTAAAATAAAATTACATTTCATAAATATGAGGCTGTGAAAATTAGAATAAAATTAGCATTTTTAAGCACAAATTTTATGCAACAACTTGAACATAATGAAATCTAATAACGACAAAAAAATGAGAGATGTTACTGAAAAATGATTATTCTGTTATGAGTACACTAGTTAACCCCTTCTCTTGTATAAATTACTAAATTTACAAACAGAAACTTTTGTTTTTCTTTTTGGGCCACCCTGCCTTGGTGGGCTACGGCCGGTTTGTTGAAAGAAGAAAAAGAAAGAGTACACTAGCTATGTATGGCTGGTAATCTATAAAGGTATAATATATACAAGAACTACTAGCAATTAACATGGTTATCTAGTAGGTTAGATAAAAAATGGGTTTCATTATCTGGGTGATAATAATAAAATTATAATAATGACAAGAATATTTTGGTTACATCATGTTAAATTATGCACGAAATTTATCAAAAAGTTACACATTACAGTAATAAAAAAACTGGCTTATACTGCTTGATATTGTACAATCATTGGACACTAAATTGCATTTGATATGTAATGTCAAGTACAATTTCTTACTACACTAAGTTGTAAGGTTTTCTAAGGTATAGTACCACAAAATAAATTTCAATTTAATAGTTAGAAATAACCGAATTAGCACATTACTGTACTATTTTTAACAGAGGCAAGAGTTCAAAGTGAGTAAGGAATTATAACTGAGATAATAATATAGTAATTACGGTGCAGTAACCGTAATAGCTGAGCTAATGCAAGTTTATCCCTCAAAGAAAAAATGGTGAGGGGATCTTGAACCAAGGAAATAGATCTGACTTCTACTTCCTTATATAAAATTTGATTACCTCACAGTCCTCAGAAGCTGTGTGACCCCTGTGGGTTTTGCACTCCCCCATGAACATAATAATAATAATAATAATAATAATAATAATAATAATAATAATAATAATAATAATATAGTAGGTTGGTAGACAGCAACCACCCAGGGAGGTACTACCGTCCTGCCAAGTGAGTGTAAAACGAAAGCCTGTAATTGTTTTACATGATGGTAGGATTGCTGGTGTCTTTTGTCTGTCTCAAAAATATGCAAGATTACAGGTACGTCTTGCTACTTCTACTTACACTTAGGGCACACTACACATACATGTACAACGTTTATTTATACACACTCATCTGATTTTTTTTTGATTTTATCTTAATAGTTTCTTGGTCTATTACTTTTCCTTTTATATTTCCCTGGGGAAGTGGGAAAAAGAATCTTTCCTCCGTAAGCCATGAGTGTTGTAAAAGTCAACTAAAATGCCGGGAACAATGGGGTAGTAACCCCTTTTCCTGTAAAAAATTACTAAAAAGAATAAGAAGAAGAAAATTGTCAAAGTGGGGAAATCTGAATGTGCGTGGATGTTTTTGCAAATGATAAGAAAGAGAGATTGTGGATGTTAGAATGAGAAGAAACTGGATGTCCTGGCTTTTAAGTGAAACAAAGCTGAAGGGGGGGGAGAGTTTTCAATGGAGAGGAATAAAATGGGATTAGGTCAGGGTTTCAAATAGAGTTAGAGCTAAAGAAAGGGGTAGCAATAATGTTGAAGGATAAGCTATGGCAGGAAAAGAGGGACTACAAATGATAAATTCCCAAAGGGTTATGTGGAGTAAAATAAAGATTGGATGTGAAAAGTGGGTTATAGTAAGCGTGTATGCACCTGGAGAAGAGAGAAGTGTAGAGGAGAGAGAGAGATTTTGGGAAATGTTGAGTGAAAAGCGTGGCGAGTTTTGAATCCAAATGTGAGAGTAATGGTGGTTGGGATTTAAATGCTAAATGGGTAAAAATGTTATGGAGGGAGTAGTAGGTAATTTTGGGGTGCCAGGGGTAAATGTAAAATGGGGAGCCTTTAATTGAGCTATGTGTAGAAAGAAATTTGGTAAAAAGTAATACATATTTTATGAAAAAGAGGATAAATAAATATACAAGGTAATGATGTAGCACGTAATGAAAGTAGTTTTTAGATTATGTAAATTTGGGGGATAAAAGGTTGATGGGTAGGCTCCAGGATGTACATGTTTTTTAGAGGGGCAACTGATATATCGGATCATTTTTTAGTTGTAGCTACAGTTTTGGTAAGAGGTAGAAAGGGAAAAGAGGAAGGTGGCAACAACAAGTAAGAGGGAGGTGAAAGTGTATAAACTAAGGGGGGAGGAAGTTCGGGCGAGATATAAGCGACTATTGGCAGAAAGGTGGGGTAGTGCAAAGATGAGTAGTGGGGGGGTTGAAGAGGGTTGGAATAGTTTTAAAAATGCAGTATTAGAAGTGGGGCAGAAGTTTTGTGGTTTTTAGGAGGGTGGGGGCAGGAGGAAAGAGGAGTGATTGGTGGAATGATGAAGTAAAGGGTGTGATAAAAGAGAAAAAGGTAGCTTAACGAGAGGTTTTTTAACAAAGCAGAATGTTATAAGAAGAGCAGAGTATATGGAGAGTAAAAGAAAGGTGAAGAGAGTGGTGAGAGAGTGCAAAAGGAGAGCAGATGAAAGAGTGGGAAGGCACTGTCAAGAAATTTTAATGAAAATAAGAAAAAATTTTGGAGTGAGTTAAAAAAGTTAAGAAAGCCCAAAGGGGAAAGTATGGATTTGTCAGTTAAAAACAGAGTAGGGGAGTTAGTAGAGGGGGAGAGGGAGGTATTGGGTAGATGGCGAGAATATTTTGAGGAACTTTTAAATGTTAAGGAAGAAAGGGAGGCGGTAATTTCATGCACTGGCCAGGAGTAAAACCATCTTTTAGGAGTGAAGAAGAGCAGACTGTAAGTGTGGTGGAGGTACGTGAGGCATTACGTAGAATGAAAGGGGGTAAAGCAGCTGGAACTGATGGGATCAGACAGAAATGTTAAAAGCGGGGGGGGGATATAGTGTTGGAGTGTTGGTACTTTTTTTAATAAATGTATGAAAGAGGGGAAGGTACCTAGGGATTGGCGGAGACATGTATAGCCCCTTTTAAATATAAAGGAAAGGGGACAAAAGAGATTGTAAAAATTATAGAGGAATAAGTTTTACTGAGTATACCAGGAAAAGTATACGGTAGGTTTATAATTGAAAAAATTTAGAGGTAAGACAGAATGTAGAATTGCGGACGAACAAGGAGGTTTCAGAGTGGGTAGGGGATGTGTAGATCAAGTGTTTACATTGAAGCATATATGGAACATATTTAGATAAAGGTAGGGAAGTTTTTATTGCATTTATGATTTAGAAAAGGCATATGATAGAGTGGATAAGGAGCAATGTGGCAGATGTTGCAAATATAATGGAATAGGGTGGTAAGTTACTAAATTTCTGTAAAGAGCTTTTATGAGGATAGTGAGGCTCAGGTTAGGGTGTGTAGAAGAGAGGGAGAATACTCCCGGTAAAAGTAGGGCTTAGACCCGGATGTGTAATGTCACCATGGTTGTTTAATATTTTTTATAGATGGGGTTGTAAAAGAAGTAAATGCTAGGGGTTCGGGAGAGGGGTGGGATTAAATTATGGGGATCAAATTCAAAA